TTATAATTGTTTTAAAATGATCACCTGTTGTTATTGTTTAAATTGAGCACAAAAATAAAAGTTTTTGCAGAATATAATGCCATAGTTTAAATTTATGAAAGGGAACCAACGAGTTTAAAATGATCAATAATTTTTTAAAAAAAAACGATACTTATTAAATTATAGGTTAGGTAAACATAATCAGATATTTTATAAATGAATGCACCGAATACTACGAATGGAATATTGATTGGTAAATTTGAAATTATTGATCGATGAAGTAATCGTTATAGTAATCGGTATAAAATAATGAATCAATAATTATCAACTGTAAATATATTTTTATTATATAACATGCGAAGATAAATGCACTAATGAGTTGTGAATCATACACATTAAAATAGATGGGGATATAGATGATGTAAGATATTTTTTCGAAATCTGGATCATCACAGTTGGATTTACAAACAAAAAACAACCTCATAAATAAATGATTTTCTTAATAAAACAAACAAACACCAAAGCCATTTGATCATCATCATCATCATCATCATCATCATCATCATCATCATCATCATCATCATCATCATCATCATCATCATCATCATCATCATCATCATCATCATCATCATCATCATCATCATCATCATCATCATCATCATCATCATCATCATCATCATCATCATCATCATCATCATCATCATCATCATCATCATCATCATCATCATCATCATCATCATCATCATCATCATCATCATCATCATCATCATCATCATCATCATCATCATCATCATCATCATCATCATCATCATCATCATCATCATCATCATCATCATCATCATCATCATCATCATCATCATCATCATCATCATCATCATCATCATCATCATCATCATCATCATCATCATCATCATCATCATCATCATCATCATCATCATCATCATCATCATCATCATCATCATCATCATCATCATCATCATCATCATCATCATCATCATCATCATCATCATCATCATCATCATCATCATCATCATCATCATCATCATCATCATCATCATCATCATCATCATCATCATCATCATCATCATCATCATCATCATCATCATCATCATCATCATCATCATCATCATCATCATCATCATCATCATCATCATCATCATCATCATCATCATCATCATCATCATCATCATCATCATCATCATCATCATCATCATCATCATCATCATCATCATCATCATCATCATCATCATCATCATCATCATCATCATCATCATCATCATCATCATCATCATCATCATCATCATCATCATCATCATCATCATCATCATCATCATCATCATCATCATCATCATCATCATCATCATCATCATCATCATCATCATCATCATCATCATCATCATCATCATCATCATCATCATCATCATCATCATCATCATCATCATCATCATCATCATCATCATCATCTGATTGATTAGAACTGTTCTATTTTAAGTTATCATTCAAAAGAAGTGGTGTGTTGTGACTTATTTGTCATATCAAAGGTTGAAATACGCCAAACCCTTGATTTTTTTTCATATTCACGTCTATATTTAGCAACGTTTTTTAATACTACTGAGTCAATCACTCAGAAGTTATGTAGACCGACCAATTTATTTACTGGCAATCAGTAGATAGATTAAAGTGTATGTCGTAACTGAGCAAAGTCTAAAAATAAACTGATAAAAAATTGAATTATGTACTTTCAAAAGTTAATAAAGTTGACCCACTCACTTAAAGACCCTAATACTTTGTGTTCCTTCTCTAGCACCTTATTAAGTGGTCATGGTTACGGAGTACTAAATGAGAAGGAATTAGCTGGTCCTATGACTATCAACATTTTAACAGCTAATGTCATTTCACGATGGAGATCAGTTTAAAAACTATCTAATCTCCGAGATAAAAGTCAGAAAAGAAGTTTGACAATCTTTAAAGCCAATCAAGTTATAGTAAATTTCACCTTAGAAAATCGGTGATTTGTAAACTTGACTTCGTTTAGCTTAAGCTTTATGTAACAAAGAAACATAGCATAATACGTCTCAATTTGAATGATAAGTTAGCTTCAACTCCAATTGATCAGTCCTAAACAACTGGTACATGTGTTGATCGGTTCAAGTTACCATTCTATATCAGAACACGGATACAAATTTTTCAAGACAAATGATACAGTAGTATCAGTGATAGTAGAAAATATTTGGAGCAAATAATATGATTTGAAAAGCGAGAATGAACTAAACAATTTTGAAAATCAGTACATATGAGAAGACAATGAATCAATGGATTTGAACCATACTACCTAATTTTTTCAACCGCTGGTTACGATAACCGTGTGAACTTCAACTATGTAGTCACTATCCACCAACGTGGATGACCTTATGGACCAATAACAAGTATTTGTTTAGTTCCCCTCTTTACTCGCTCGAATTAATCATCCAACATCTAGCGTAAATATAGGCGTTGATAAAATGTAAAATCAGTCTTCATTGTTAAATGATATTGATTAGAAAATCATAGAAAATCGAGAATAACCGGAATAAATACTTATTTCTCAACTAGAATATTTACATTCACTTGGTGTTGTTTTACATGTATCTCCCCATTGTTATTTAGGACTGCGACTGATCAGTCTCTTATCAGCATATGTCCATCCTGTACGGATTTCATCGATAAAACCTTAAGTCACAAGGTTTTTAAGCAAAGATGGATAGTGGTTAGCAGTGGAATCCAGGATGCGCGTTTCGTCCTATATTTACAATACTGATATGTATGATGTCTAGGTATTTGTATTGTTGAAAAAATCTCGAACCATTAATAAATCAATTTTTGCAACAATGTTCTATTTAATAAGATTATCTCATAGTTAATTTGGTAATGATCTTAATCTGTATTGGTATTATGATTGTTATTTTGATTATTTATCTCAATTGACCTTCCATTTTGTGTTTTATTAACTGTTTCCCAATATTTAGTCCCAGTTTAGAATTGTTTTCTGAACTTATTATAGTATTGTAATATTCATAATGTTAAGAAATCAAGTTATAAAATGACATTTTATCTAAGTTTAAATCATAAATTTACCGCATTATAAATACAATGAAAAAATTTGTAAATTAATCAGTAAACAGGAAAACATTGGATAATTCAATATTGATTATAATGTGAATAACGAACAATGTCAAAATAAAAGTTGCACTTATCAAATAAGTAATATCAATAGTTGAGATCATGAGTCAATTGAAGTTAGACAACCATGGAAAACCTGGAAGCATTGGACTGCCGTTTCATCCTAATATGGGACTCCTCAGAATTGCGCATCGACGACCTCGCC